GATAATCGCAAAGTCTATGGAAGGCGTGCGACTGTTTCTACTGCACGGTCGCACGTCTTCCGTCGAACAAGCAGGCTGGAAAACCCGCTGGGAATCGTACGATTCTCGGCGAGTTAGTGGCCTGCTTGTTCCACAACTGCCGAACGGGCCGATGTGCGCACGCGCACACTGCCTGTTTGCAGCCATCGAAAGCCTGCCCCTCATTGCAGTCATCGCAAGTACGTTCTGCCTGTCAAAGATGGGCAGATTGTTCGTTTTTTAAAGTACTTTACAACCCTTGCAAGACAAAAGTCTTTTGCGAGGGTTGTAAAGTGTATGGCCACCTTTATACTAAAAACAACAGATGGAGGAAATTAAGGAAAATACATTTTTCAAAAAACAATTGGTTTCGGCTGGGGGACATTTTTTAAATAATACATTTTTAGCATTGGAATTTTTTAATCATTCTGATGGGGGAGTGCAGAAAAACAAAGTGCATGCACCGTATGGTGTAGGTCAGTGGTTCTCAACCTGTGTAACGTCAGGACCCACCTTTGTCCCTGGTCATTAAGTCGCGACCCAAGTCACACTGCAATGGAATGCACAGCAGTAGGGTACCGCGCATTCCGGTGCGGGCGATCGAGCTGTGGGTGGGAGATGCGTTTTGGGGTACCATTCAAATGAACGCTAACACAACACACCTCCCACACCAGAATGCATGGTAGGTGTGATTATAGTTTATTGCACTGTACTAGTGTGAACGGGCCCTTAAAACACTGACGCACATACACAGACACAATTTCACACATACACATCCCCAAATTTTTTTAATTTTTTTCTTAAGATCTACCCAGATCTACTTAACCAGAACTGGAGTGGATCCTCAGCCTGGGGTCCAGTGTGGGCTGCTATGCTGTGATGGAGCATTTTTTAATAAATTTGTCATTACTTAATTATTTATTGTACTTTGTTCACTTTATTTTTTCTCTGAACTTAACAAGTCCCTGTGTTGCTGCATGCACTATTTTTTTCAGATCGCACTGCACTGGAACGGAGAACCTAGTGTTCCTGTACCTCGTGTTCCAGTGCGGGCGTTCGCACTGTGGTCGGGGTGTGTGTCTGCGGTGTCTTTGTCATGAATGGCACCGACACGCCCCCTCCTGCCCCAGAACGTTGCCTGGCTTGATTTATGTGATCCAGTGAGTTCCGGGCTTGAACCGCATCGGAAAGCACTTGATATGATGTGACTGGGCCTTTAGCCCTGCTTGTCCAAAGCAGGACCAAATGTAGAAAAAAAATCACTCCCCAACACTGCATGTCCCGGGGGTCGGGCGATAGGAATTCGGCACCCCTGGGATCTTTTGCTCAGCTTGGATTTTTATTATTACAGGCAGTCCCAGAGTTACGGACGTCCGACTTACGGACAATCCATACTTACGAAAGTGCTATAAGGTGTGCGGAGAGCACCCTCACCAATTAGTACGTGTAAGAGAACTGTGGCTGCAGCGGCCTGTGTCCCTTCAAATCCGTGGTGCTCTCCCCGCCTGTGTTGGCGGAGGCAGCGGGGACACAGACCGCTGCATTCCACCGCTGCCCCCCGTACCTCCGCTGCTGTCCCGGCCTCCTTGTAATGTTCGTGCCGTCTCCCGGGCCGGCAGCACGGTCCGACGCTCTTCTGCGCATGCGCGCCACGGAACTCGAGCGTCCCTGTCTAGGAGAGACAGCAGCAGGACCGCCGCGTCACAAGGCTCCTCCTCCCTTCACACGAGCCGCAGGCTTAAAGCCGTGGTTCACTAATTGGTCGGTGTCCTACTAACGTTTGTGGCAGGACGCTGATCAAAACAGTGTCTCCCCACCTCGTACTCGGACCTAGGAGCAACGAGGAGCAGCCCCAACCAGAGGACCTGCAGATGCCAGTCGAGCCAAGTGGAGTACAACCGCAAGTACCTAGGTCTCACTGCATAGGACCCTAAAAAAAATAAAAAATAAAACAATAAAATTAAAAAGACAACAAAAGGTAAAAAAAAAAGTTAAATAAAAATTAAAAATGCAAACAAATAAAAAAAAATTAAGTTTATAAAATATAAAATTTAAAAATAGAAAAAAACAACTTTTGTTGGTGTGTCATTTTAAATAAAAATGTTTATTATATTCTAATCTTCTGGACGACAGGAACAGACAGCAAATTTTTTTTTGGCTGGAGTTCCACTTAAATGTACCTTTTCCGACTTACATACAAATTCAACTTATGTACAAACCTACGGTCCCTACAGGATTTTATAGCGCCAACAGTTTGCGCAGCATTTTACAATACAAGGAAGACATTACCATCACAAATTCAAGACAATATGGTAAGGAGGGCCCTGCCCATGAGGGCTTACAATCTAAAAGGGAGGGGCAAGTGATACATGAGGAGGTAGCTGTGTGAAGGTGAATTGTTTGAGAATGTAATGGTTGAGTGGTTAGGTTGAGGTGGGATAGGCTTCCTTGAAGAGATGTCTTAAAGTGTTCTTTAACCCTCCGTTTTCTTTGCATATATCTAATGTTAGCAAGCAGTAGATATATGCAAAAACAAGAAAAAGAAAAAACCTTTAAAAAGGGTTAATACTTACCTGTGTCTTCCCCATGCACTCCCGTCTGACAATATGAAAAATCTCCGGCACATACGCAGTTCAGATTTTCGGCTGGGCGACGAGGAGAGACACAAGGTAAGTCTGGTTGGGGTAAAGAGTTCCAGAGAATGGGAGAGACTCTGGATACGTTCTGGAGGCGAGCATGGAAGGAGTTGACAAGGCAGCTAGAGAGAATGAGGTAATTGGAAGAGTGGAGGGGACGGTTAGGATGATACATTGAAGCCTATGACCTAAGTGCTGTGAAGCTGAAACCAAGGGGTCAAAGAGAATCCCAGCTCCTGCACTGTGCCTGCATGGCAGATGGGAGACCTGGAAAGTCCACAAGACACATGGGGGGAATTTATCAAATTGGAGCAGGAGAATCTGGAGCAGTTGCCTATGGCCCCTAGCGGGCACGCACGGGCAGAAAAGACCCGACCGTTGCACACACCCGTTACCGGGTGTTTCACATATAGGCGATCAGCGGGTCCATAGCCCGCCGATCGCCTATAATTGTTCCAAACCCAGCCATAACTTATTTTCAGAATTACAACACTTATCAACTATTCTGATGATATGCTCAGTCTTGTGGTATAAACAAAGGTCTGGAAATTCTATGCCACCGGCCTACTTTGAATCCTCGCTCTCTGTTTGGTCCGGAGAATAGATAAAAAAAAAGCAGATCGCATATGCCGAAGGTATGTCCTGATACTTAAAACTAGGGATGCACCGATATATCGGCACCTAAATGCCGAAAGTGCCATTTTCCTGCCGATACGTCGGCGCATCCGTGATTTCTTTCCTCCCTGCTGGGTGCTGCTCTGTGTCCCAGGGAGGAGGAGAGAAAGTGACAGCCGGCCGAGCGCTGTGGGACAAGAGGGTTGTGAGCGGGCGGTGTCTCTCCTCCCACACCGCTTGGCCGCCTATCACAGTGCGGCAGAGCGGTGTGGGGGTGGAGACAGTGCTGTCACAGGAGGCTGGGCTCTCCTCTCGCACCGCTCACTCAGCCTCCTGTGACAGTGTGTGTCAGAGAGGAGAGCAGGCTACATACACTCAGCAATCGGTTTACTTCAGTTTCAAATTATCTTAAGAAGAGGGTACCCTACAATCGTCTAGAGTTATCTACTTTGTTCCTGCCTGTGATTTTAAGTGTTTTTGTTTGTAGCATACTTTTATAATACTTTTATAAACATTGCTAAATTGCATGACGATTTTAGGCTTAAGGGCTCATGCATATTAAAATACTCTCATGTGCACTGGATCTTTCTGCTACAAGCTAGCAAAAAATACAGTATATAAAAAGAGCATGATCAAGTTTGATGTAATTCTACAGGTTTATGTGCGAATACGCACATATGGCGCTAAGGGGGGTATACAGGCAAATAAATTTGTGTGGCTACAATATTCATTTAGTCTAGGCACTAGGATGAATGTACATGCATATACATGCGTGTATTCACATACATTATGCCAGTGATCTCCTCTCAAAACACAGGTTTGGTGCATTTGATTTTTATGCCCCTTAACACCTCTCTAAAATATGAATCTAAACCCCAAAATGTGAATGGACACATTGGCTAAAATAGAGCTGAAATGTGGACGTCCCCTTTAAATGTGTCAGGTCCTGTAAAAGGAAATTGTGTTCATCAGATTGTCAATACATTTTATACCCCTAAAGGCTTAGTTTACTCTAAATTTGTAGAGTCTCCCTAAACCAAATTGACTAACTAAAGTTACAAAGTAAAAATTTAGCAAATCGGTCCCTGTGCCTTAAGTTTGCCCTAGATGCGCACTGTACAACTCTAGCCCGTAGACGAGTACTTTTGTATACTAAAATCCATGTATGGGTTCCCCAACATGATTACCTAGACATAGAACTCGGATGCCAGTGTGCTGGGCAGTGTTTACATCCAATATCACCCTGGCACTTGTGCAGCATGTGCACAGGTGCAAATCCATGCCCTATAGACATGAATGGGAGAGTTTAACCCATACAGAGTTTTTTAATATAACAGTACAATTGTAGTTTAAAGAAAAACTGCAGTTAGTGCAATTGCAAATATATTGCCCAGCCTTCTAACAGTTCATAATCGGCAGCAATTGACTGAAACTCACAATCTTTAAATGCTGCCTGCCATCCTATTTTCCATTAGACACTGAGCAATGGAGCAGGTCCAGGGGAGGGAACTGAGTAACTGCTCAACATGATATGCAGCAACACACTATCCTGAGAAAAGAATAGAAAAGGTGTGTCACTGGCTGGGATTATTGTTGTTTTAGCCTTTCCTGTAGGAAGTGTTCATAGCACAGTCTCTGCAGAAGTCTGTGAGTTGTCCAGTGACATCACAAATTGTGAGTCTCATACATGCATTTTGTAGCAATAATAATTTTTATGTATCTCTTCTCTAGGAAGATTCACGTGTTCTTCGTGTAAAAGTCATCGCAGGGATTGGATTGGCAAAGAAAGATCTTTTAGGAGCAAGGTAAACTAATCTTTTGTTATAACATGTTGTTTTTTTCTCTTGAGTTTAATTTACTTTGGACTGATTGCTAGCAGTTGTCCTTTTAGCTCTTTTGCAGTTAGTTTCCATGCAATGGTATAGAGATAATACAAACTGTAGGATAGGGTTGGGAATAATAAAAGAACAGAATATATAGTATCAGAATATGAAGCTGTAGCTAAAATGTACCGTAATGTACCTGGCATGAAACCATTTCTAAGATAACTGCAACTAGTTAGTAACCCTTGGGTTAGTTGTCAAATCCATTCCATTATCCCCATTTTCCCTCCTAGGAACATAGCCCCAGGATTTATATATAGATTGAACAACTCCACTAGTGAGGAAAATCCCTGGATTCCCCCCCTATTTCCAAGCCTTACCCATGTTTTTCAACTGTTAATTGCCAAAACTTCAGTTGTCAGGGGACTTGGGTGAGTGCCAAGAAGAGGTGATGCTTAATCTTGACTTGGGCAGCACTTGAATCTCCATGTACAGTCTGGGGCTAGTAATTCAAGGTGGATCCATAAGGGACACAGACTGCAGGTGTCATTTCTGTTCTATTTTTTTTAAACTTTTTTTTTTAAACTTTTTTTTTTTTATTCTAAGAATTAAAAAAAAAACAACAAAAAACACAATACATGAGGTTCCCCCCAATAAGTCATACCATACCCTTTCGGTCGGGTAGGATTTTTAAGGGGGAACCCCACCACCACCACAAAATGGGGAATAAAAACATTTACAACCAGCCCCCTAATCCAGGCACTGGCCTAGCAGGCCAGGAAAGGGGGGGGGCAAGCGAGTGCCGCGCCCCTCCGTGCGCCATACCAGGCCACATGCCCTTGGCATTGGGAGGGTGCTTTTCCAGGGATCCCCTCTGGAAAAGCACCTGGTCCCCATACCGGTGGGGACAAGGGCCTCTTCCCCACAATCCTATTGTAAAGCGCTGCGCAAACTGTTGGCGCTATATAAATCCTGTATAATAACCCTGACCCAGTGGTTGTAGGTGTCTGTGTGCAGGGGGGCTTATTTGCATTGGGATACCCAGATACTGAACTCACGACGACTCGTAATTAATAAAAAGCCCGACGCCCACTGACCTGCACGTGTCGAACTCCCGCCACAGCGCAAAATGAAATTTTGACAGATGCCGTTTGAATGACAACAAATGGGCGAGGTCAGCCATGATGCCCATTTGTGGTCATGCAATAACAGGCCACTGTCCTCGGGTCATTTGAGGAGAGTGGCCTGTCATTGCTTGACAGCAAATGGATAGATCTAGAGCTGCAGCTAACGATTATTTTCAAAATCGATTAGTTAGCCGATTATTAAGTTCGATTAATCGGTTAATCGGATAAACAATAAAATACATTTTAAAAAACGGCTCCAGTGATGGACTACTAGTTTGTATTGAGGTTGTAGTCCATCACAGGAGCAAGCTTGGAGCGGTGGAAGTAAAAAAAATGGTGTGGTGTGCAATATAGTGAAATGGAAAGTGTAAAATTATACAGCAATGAATGCAGAATGGCATCTGCTATAGAGGACTACAAATACTAGCAATAGTACATTATACAGCACAATGCAGAATACCACCAGCTATAGAGGACTACAACAAATCCCAGCAATAGTACATTATAGCTGGCGGTATTCTGCATTGCGCTGTATAATGTACTGTTGCTGGGTTTTGTAGTCCTCTATAGCTAGTGGTATTCGGCATTGCACCACTGTATAATGTATTATTGCTGGGATTTG